AGCTGCCAAACAGGAAGCCACGGTGTGGGGAGCAGGCAGGGCCACCCCAGACAGCCTGAAAGTAAAAACAGGCCACGTGACGCCACACGGGGGAGAGGGCGCCGGCTTCCACCCACCCCACAGCCTCTGGCGTAGACCTCACTTCCTGCTGTGTCCCCCGGCGCTGACCCCGTCACCACAGCACTGACCCCCGCCATGGCGCTGACCCCTTCACCACGGCGCTGACGCCCCTTCACCACGGCGCTGACGCCCCTTCACCACGGTGCTGACCCCCGCACGGCGCTGACCCCCCCCCCACGGCGCTGACCCCCCCCCCCACGGCGCTGACCCTCGCCATGGCGTTGACCCCGTCACCACGGCACGCTGACCACCCCCCACGGCGCTGACCCGGCGCTGACCCCTTCACCACGGCGCTGACCCCTTCACCACAGCGCTGACCTCCCCCCCCATGGCGCTGACCGCCCCATGGTGCTAACCCCTTCACCATGGCGCTGACCCCCCCATGGCGCTGACCCTCCCCAAGGCACTGACCCCGCATGGTGCTGACTCCCCAAGGCCCTGACCCCCACCATGGCACTGACCCTCCCCAAGGCATTGACACCCCATGGTGCGGACCCCCCAAGGCGCTGACCACCCCATGGCAGTGACCACCCAAAGGTGCTGACCACCCCCAGGATGTTGACTCCCGCCAAGGCACTGCGAACCACCCAGCTCTATTTTTTTTTACTTCATATCATGAAATAATGATAAAATCTCAAAAAGTCACAGAAACAGTACAAGAGGTCCCGTGTCCCCTCCCGCAGTGTCCCCCAGTGATGAGACCTCATGTCACCCAGCGCGTCATCAAAACCAGGAACCCGACACGGCACACTGCCACCACCGAGGCTCCAGGTCTTGGTCAGATTTCACCATTTCTCACGTGCGCTCATTTTCTGGGACGTCCTGGTGTGTAAGCCTCTGACACTGTCACACACACAGATCGTCTCTCCACTGTTACAACCACGAGGCAGGGCTGCCCCACCTCGGCCAGGCGCGCCATCACCCAGTGGGCCCCGTGCATGGAGGGACCTGTGATGGTCTGGCTTCCCTGTTGGACAGTGAGTGCCCTGAGACGGGGAACCGACGGTGTCTTGCTTATTCCAATACCCCGGGCAGAGGGCCTGGCATACAGCAGGTGCTCGATAAATGCTTGAACGCTTCTGAGAACAGCTCTTCATGTTCTGCCCAGCCTCATGTCTCCACTTTTGTGGGGAAACAGACATCTTCCCGCCATTCCCCAGTCCCTACCCCCAGGTGACTCAGGGCTCCGCTCAGACCCTCGATGAGCACACACCCACGGCCTGGTGATGGCGAGAGTGGCGAGTCTCAACCTGGGCACCAAGAACCTTCATACGGAGGTCATAGGAGGCCCCGAAACCATAGGCCAAGTGGGGTGTGCACGTGCCTGGGAGAGGGTCCCACGACCACGCTCAGTCCTGGGGTCTCTGGCTCTGATTTGTCCAACAGCTGGCCAGAGAGGGGCACTGGGGCCTTGTCAAGGAACCAGGGTGTCAGAGCCCCCAATTCAGGCCTCTGCCCCCAAGCCGTGTGAGCTCAGGCAAGTCTCCCCTCCCCCGGGGCCTGCACAGGAGTACGGGCAACAGACCCCGTCACAGTGCTGCCATAGATGCGTCACTGACAAATCCCGGGTCTTCCCGTGGGCCAGGGCCCAGCTGACAGGCCCTGCACACAGGCACTCCCTCAGTCCTCAAGGTGGCCCTGTGAGGTGGCACCGTCCCCACCACAAAGACGGGGGGAGGAGCCCAGAGAGAAGAGTCTGGGCCTGGCCTTGAGCCCGGGCAGACCCCAGGGTCCCTCCTCCAGCACACGGCCCAGTGGACACCCAGCAGCCCCAGGACCCTGTCCAGTCGCCTGGGGCCCAGGGCCTGGCCCCATGCCTGGCACAGAGCACGGCTCACAGTGAACGGGCATGGAGCCCACAGCAAGGCCCCCTTAAGAATGGGGGAGGGCTGTGCCCAGAGAAGCAGCTGGCCCTTCAAAAATAACCCAAGAAGAGGCTGCAAGTGCAGCCAGGCCTGGGACAAACCTCAGATCCTGGCAGGCCTGAGGCCCGGGCGCGGACAGACACCCAGACACCAGGAGGCCCTTTCCGGGCCGGACCAGGCTCTGCCTGGACACGAGCCCTCTCCACGCTGCCCTGACCTTCTCTCCTGCCTGCCGGCTGCTGACCGCCCCACCCGCCGGCAAAGAGACGCTCGGCTGGGCAGTCCACGGCCGTGGCTGTCTCCTCCCGTGACTGAGCCACTTGTCACCCGGCTCCCCCAAACCCCAGGCCTCGCCCCATATAAGTACACGACTGAAAGGCACAGGCCGAGTCACGTCCTGAAAAATCCCGTTCAACTTAAAACAAGAGAAACCAAGGAAAGAGGATCCAGGCAAAAACCATCGAGTGTAAAAGTTCTCTGCAAGTTTTTCCACCCGACGTTTACGACCCAGCCGGGCCAGGGTCCCGTAGGGCCAGCCCAAAAGTGGGCCGTGGAGTCTCTAAGGCCGTCCAAGGCGTGTTGGGGCCAGAGGGTCTGGGCAAGCCCAGGCGGGAGGAGAGGGGTTAACTGGCTCACACCCCTGGGGCTGCCCGGGCTCCGGCTCCCACTGCGCCCTCAGCCAACCGCAGCCTGTCCCGCTGCCAGCCCCTCGGACAAAACCGGCCGCTGAGTCAGGCGGGCCGGCTCCCGGCCGATTGTGTGCAAAGACAAAAGGGACGCTGACGGCCCAACTCCGCGGCGGCCGCGGGCGCTGGGAGAGGACAGCTGACCAGGCGGCCCGGCCGGCCACCCCTTGGGCAGGACACCCAGGAGCCCTCCCCGCGGGGTCCCAGCAGGGCCTGGTGGGGGGCGGGCGACGCTGCAAGACCTCAGTCCACCGGCCACTGGAAACCAGGAGCTGGACAGTCCCTCCAGACCCTGCGTCCCTGTTTCGGTCCCCACCCCTTGGCAACCAACAAACAGAGCTGGAGACCGCCTCGGTGTCACAGGTATTAAATGCCAGCCAGCAGCTTCAGTTACAAAACACTGTCGCTTGAAGTCAGAAGGGCACGGCGGTAAAATCCGTGACCCACCCCAACTACCCTCACATGGTGGCGCGTGGGTTCTGGGCCAGCCCGCCTGGGTTCAAATCCCCTCACTCCAGCCACCCTGGACAGGTTGTTAATCTTTCTTTCACTTTTCTCTGCCTCAGTTTCCCCATCTGTGAAGCAAGGATAATATCTGTCCCAACCCCACAGGGCTGTGGGAGGACAGACGGGGAGAAGTGGGGGAGCACGGAGCACCCAGCCCCCATGCTGGCACCCAGTTAGGTGGATGTTATTTCCATTTTCCAGGTGACGAGACGGGGGCTCAGGAAGAAGACCTCACTTGCCAAAGGGACCCAGCCAGTAAGCGGCAGAATCAGGATTTGAACCCAGGTCCACAGGCTCCAGGGGCAAGCACTGAGTTACACTGGAGTCCCAGAGGCCGAGAGATGGGTCAGCAGGGATCCCGGCCTCGGCCAGGGGGGGTCCTGCTGCGTTTCAAGCAGGACAGAGCTGCACACACTCGAGGCCCACGCCCTGATCTCTGTGCAGCTGGCCCCGGCCCCGGCCCCCAGCCCTGGTGTGGACCCGGGGACAGAGCCAGGGCTATGAAAAATGGGGATCACCCTCCTCGGGTGGCCTGCCTGCCAAGAGGAAGAGCCTGGGGTGACGATCGGAAGCCCAGGGTGTCCCCAAACACCTTCCAGGACGGCTCCAGACACTTAGGCAGATCCCAGGGCGAGAGGGACACCGGAACCACCTGCGCCCAGCGCCCTCCAGCTCCCTCCCAGGAGGACAGACTGGGAGCTGAGCTCACACACATCCACCAAGCAGGCACCCCGCGTCGTGGGCACGCAGCAACTCCTCAGTCACCTGGCTGACCTGCCCAGTCAACCCGAGCCCAGCTCCCAACCCTGCTCCAGTCCCTGGTCCCCAACACCCCCGTGAGCGAGTGACCCCTCAGACCCAGCCTCTCTCCAGGCGCGTGTGCACACAGACTCACGACCCGACGCACACAGCTAGGCCTGGGGTTTGGCCTCTGCTAGCTTAAGTGCTAACATCCTAAAAGGGGGACCTATTCTATAACTGCCCTCTCCATGTCCCCCAGGACCCCCACCCCCACCAACACGCTCTCCCACTGGGACACGTGGCCAGCATCAATCACGGTGCTGAGTCAGACCGCACGGCAGGCTCCTCTGTGCCCCTGGAGTGGGTGTGTCCTCTGAGCAGCTGCCAGGCCTTACTAGAAAATGAGGGACGGGAGGCCTTTCTCGGACAGGGGAGCGTGCGACGTGCTGCTCCAAAGCAGGCAGACAAAAGGCCCAGAGGCCGGGCCCACTCGGGCGGGACACCTGGCCCTGATCCTCACCTGCACCTCTCACAGACATGGAACCCCGGTCGGCAGTGACCTGCCGCCACCATCTGTCGGGCACCGGAGCAGGTCAGAGGGGCCAGCCCAGTTCCTAAGAAGGTGGGCAAACACTTGCAGACTGCCCATCCTAAGGCCTCCACGCCTAGAACTCTGAGGAGCCACTACCACCGCCACTTCATAGGGCAGGAAACTGAGGCACGGACAGCGGCAGAAGCTGCCAGAGGTCGCACAATTAGGGAAGCTGGGATTTGAACCCAGGCCACAGCCCCAGAGCTCATGCTCCCCGTCTCTGTGGTGAGGCCTCTGCCAGGGGTGGAAAATGCGACCCACCTTCCCCTAGTCCTCCCAGCTCATCCCCCCCACCCCCAAAAGGCAACCACGTTCCCGAAAGCTCTCAGAGAAAAGAGGCTGCGAACAGCACACCGATGTGTGGGCTGGCAGTCTTGTAGTGAAGGACTCCTCGGACCAGCGGGCACCCACCCCGGGAGACCCTGGAAGCCCACCACCTGCTCCACCTGGTCTGCCCCCACCCCGGCCCCACCGGCCTCATCCACTCACCCGTACGTTCGCTGGACCAAGGTGGGGTGCAGCTGCTGGACGCCGATGGCAAAGCCTAAAAGGGGAGACAGTCAAGGACTCGGCCTCACTCCAGGGGGCATAACCACACAGCCACACACCTCTAATCGAAGAGGGTAATGCCGTCCTCCCCTGTCCCAGGTCACCCCCACGGGAACCCCGAGCTCCAGCAAAGGCCGGCCAAGGGACCTGGGTGTTGTCCTCCAGGGGCCAACTTCCTCCCTCTCGAGGACAGCTGACAACTGGGTCAGGCACCCTCCCCACCCTGCCCCACCGGCCCACGAGGCCAGAAGAGGGGTCCAGCCCCCAGGCTGGGGGATGACTGCCCTGTGACGGCTCTGCAAGCACGTGATAGCCGCCTGCCACTCCTGGGGCAGGGCATGGGGGGGTGCCTTTTTCCACCCAACAGATTCCGAGATACCGACGCTGAATATAGCAACCGAGAAGAGCCAGGAAGGAAAACACAGGCTCTCACCCGTCTGGAGGCTCCGCGGCTTGGCGCCCAGATAGGCCAGGTTCACGTTGGCCTTGCGGCCGTCGATGTTGGGGTTGGGGTCTTTGCAAGCCCTCTCAGCGGCCGCCCGGTCCGCCATAGTCACCTGGAGGTGCAAAGACGTGTCAGGGGCTTCCCTTGCCAGGCGGGGGGAGCAGAAGGCTCTGCCCTGGCACCACACTCACTTCCCTCCACCAGCGGTGCCCGTTACCCAGGGCGCTGGGCCAAGGCCCCTCTGACCCCGGCTGGGGCCCTCCCACAAAGCTGCTCCCTGGATTCCAGCTCCTCCCTCCAAGTTCAAGTTCTGGGAAACCTTGCCTCCAAGGACAGAAACAATCCCCGGGGGAGACGGGACTCCCCCAAAGGGAGGCAGGGGCCCCAGCCTGGCCCGCCCGCCAGTGGGGGCCGTGAATTTCCTCATGGGAGGGGTTTGGGGACAATGCAGTTAGAAGGGAAGTAGGAGACCGTCTTCAAGTCGTTTTTTTACTTCAATTGATATTATTTGGGGCGTCTGAGGGGGCTGCTGGAATACATGGCGGCGTGGGGGGGTTGCTAAAGGGCTCCAAAGCGCCCTGGGGGCAAGCCTCCGTTCCGCGCTCGCTTGTTGCTCCAGGAAATCCCGAGAGCAGGCATCTGCCCCCAAAACCACTCCACAAACTTAGGAGTCCGACTTGAAGACAGCGCCTCTCCTTTTCAAGCCGGCCGTGGGGTGGGGGCAGGGAGACGGGCCGGGGGCCGTGCGGGGCGGGACCGGCTGGAGCGTGAACTGCCGCCCCCGGGCCCGAGGGGCACAGCAGGTGCCGGCGGAGGGGCCCCGGGCGGCCCGGCGTGCGCCCACCGCTTGACTCAGCGCCCCGGGCCGCGGTAAGCGCGGGGCGGGTGCGCGCGCGGCCGCGGGGCCACTTACGAAGCCGTAGCCGCGGGACTTGCCCGTCTGGCGGTCGGTGATGACCACGGCCTCCTCGATGTCCCCGAAGCCCTCGAAGTACTTCCTGAGCGAGGCGTCGGTGGTGTGGTAGGGCAGGCCGCCCACGAAGATCTTGGTGAACGTGGTGTCCTTCTGCGAGCCGTGCATGGCGCCGGGGGCGGCCGGCGGCCGCGGGAAGCCCGCGCTCGGGGCGCACGGCGCGGGC